AACACTAAAGGAACTGGTAGGAATGGACCCCTAATGCTGAGGCGGATTTGTTTGCAGGTGTTGATCCCTTGGTTTGTCCAGGTCGGTTAGAGTCTCTGAGCCTGAGAGGGTGGAATAAGACTTCTAGGTCTGGAAGGTGATTTTTGACTTGAAGGAACAAAAGGACCATTTGATATAAGATAGGAAGGTGGCAATCTGTGCTTCTTGTAGCTGGGGTTTGTGAGTACTTTTATTCCCCTTTGCTATTATAATGATTTTTTCCAATGAAGAGCCAAAAAGACAGTATTACACGAAGGGTGGGCCTTCAAAATGCTAGTTACACTGTTGCTCCGCTGACTACCACCTAAGCCAGATCGCCCTTTAGATCTGGATGCAAGAAAGGGATACCTGAGACATAACACGGCTAGTGTCCAGTGCCGAATTGCATAGAAGTTCAATGAGACGGTCATTTGGTCAACACAATGAATAAGTACAGTGTGAACACCAGCAGTCAAGCGTTCCCAGAGTTGCAATTTAGATTAATCAGTTAAAGTCTGGAAAAATAAGTAACAAGGCAAGCATGGGTTGAAGGTCAGATCCCACCAAGGAATAGATGGATCAAAACACTGCTTCCAACTTCTTCTCAGCAGGGTCCTTAAAGGGTGGAATGTCTTCTACAGGAATGATCAAAGCTTTGTTAAGGAGAAACACTGGTGGGTCAACTTCAGGAGAAGTATATTTTGTAACAAAATCCTCCACAAAAAAGATAGAGCGCCAGTAGACATTTACAGACAAGAAATCTCTGGGTGTTTCCAATCTTTGTAGAGTAAATCATCAAATAGGTGAAGATGAGGAAAAACCTTGACGGAATGTGTAGGTCTACGAGTACTAAGGCCAGACACTGTAGTATGGAAAGTAACAGTGGAATCCTTTAACTTAAAAGTGCAATACTCAACCTTGATTAGAAAAGAAAACAATTTGTAAAAGGAAACAGATTCTCGATATTTTGGGGAAATAAATGCTGACTGAAGATCAGCTGGTGGAATATTCTCCTCCTTTAGGGAAGGAAAGGGTTCAGGGTTTGCCAGCCAGTTTTCTGGAGGATCCCTGACATAATGTTAGGCATCTCTGTGTCAGAATCGGCTGGGCAATGTGAAGGTGGGTGTTTTAATGTCTTGAGATCAAGGGGAGCAACAAGTTGCACTGTTTGGGGGAAAACACTGCTGCTTAAAGGTAAGCTGGCAGGATCTCCTCCTTCTCTAGGGAAGGAAGGGGCTCAATGTTTACTAACGAGTTTTCTGGAGGATCACCAACAGAATGCTAGGCATCTCTGTGTCAGGATCCGCTGGGCAATGTGATGGCGGGTGTTTTAAACTCTTGCAATCAACTAAAGCAACAAATTGCACTAACTGAGCCATAAAACCTTACATAGCAGAAGACAATACCTCCACTGTAAGAGAGGAAGAGGAATGAGCACCCAAGCAAAGAAGGGGGAGTTTACAAATAGCTTCTGAAGCAGGTGGTTACAACAGAGGTTTGAAAAAAGTACAAAAAGCACAAATTTTACTGTACAAAGCACAACCTTGCACGTTGTACAAAACGGGTGTTGATTGGATTTGCCTGCATCCGCAAGCAGACCGCTTTGTTCAGTTCCAGAAAGCTGCCTTTGACCAAAAGGCTATAGACCTTTAAAGCAGGAACGACCGAATTCCTCAGGAGTACCTACAGACTCAAGCCCAGCAGTGTACCGTGGTTTAAAGCAGGAGCAATGGCTTTGGACCACTTGTCATTGCAGGCAGTGCTAGAGAAACAAGTGTATGTGTCTGCTGTGAGAGGTTCTATATAGTTACAGATAAGGCTGAAGAGGTGCTGCTACCTGAGTGCAGGCTCTTCGAGGTGCTGTGGGAGGAAACTGCTCAGCAGTGCCTCAGCCGGGAGAAACCGTGGAATACTATTGCACAGAAGCTACTAGTGAGTGCATGTGCACCCCCATGGGCCCCACATGTGCATGAGTGCTCCTCCTAAACTCAAAATTCCAAACAAGAAAAAGAAGGAGGCGGCAAATTTAACATGGCAGTTGGGCATATCTAGTTGCCCAGCCAACAGAATCTTAGAAAAAGTATAGGCCAAGATTTAAATAAAGATATGGGTTCCCCCTTGGGGCCAGCAAAAGCAAGCCCAGTAGTAAAAGGAAAAGGTGGCCAGGCAGCTACAACTGCTTCTGAATAAAATACCACATGCAGCCTTAATACCAAACAGGGGAAAACCTCAATACAGCATAAACCTGCCAGAGGCTCATAAAAGGTAGTCTTTAGAAACAGGGACAGGAACACTGCCGTAGCTTTGGGGCCGATAACCCCACAAGGAATCTCCAGACATACTGGCCTGACCTGAAAGTGTGAACTGAACTCAGATGGACACTCACTGCCAACTGCAAGACCAATGCAGACAGAGCACCAGTATATAATGAAATGGGAAAACCTGCGCTCATTGGCTGACTGAAGAGACATCCAAGATTTCATTATCTGGCCTGAATCTACCAGCAGCTGTTGATAGAAGAAAATGTTCCAAATTAACAGAAAAAAAGCAGAGCTGAAGAACACATGTCCACTCACCTGATGACACTAAGGTAAACTGAGCAGGTGCAAGTTAGGAGGGGTTACAGCCTTAAAAGTGCAAGCCTTATATTTTTTAGGTGCATAGTGTCCATTTCTCTTGTAAGTAGCAGTATAACCATATTTCTACATTGTTACTATCATGCTTCCTCAATATCCCTCAATTGATGATAGAGAAAAAAGTTTGGCTATAGATACTCTTTATATATTCTTTTATTATGAAATACATTTCCGATGATCTTTTACAAACTTGTCATTTTTTTTTTCATAAAAGCTTTTTGAATGTTATGACTGTTATCCACGATTTAGACAGATCAATTTCATCTTCTTGTTGTACACTTTCAATTCAAAAAAAAAAAAAATGCTCTTAGAAGTGTTTTATTATGTTGCTAGAAACAAGGTATATGCCATAGTGCCTGCTTCCCATGAAGATGCCTCTCTGGCAGATGACTAGCAGTAAATTCCTCCCTAACAGGGAGCCTCAGCTATGCATAAATTCCCCCTGTGACTGTATTCTTCCCTTATGACTGTGTTCCCATTATGACTGATAACTTGCATGTTGCCCTTCCCCCTTGGAGTCCCCTCTAATCCACAACAGACCAAGGGATTCCAGTGTATCTAGTTTTATTTTTTTTGCAGCTTTCCCCTTATATTTTCACTTAGTAATTATGAGAATAACAAAGCCCATCATTAATTTTGAATATTAAGGCTGGTGATTAGCTATGCTCTCTATATGTAATAAATAAGATCAACTGCAGTGCCTATATGTCTGTCATCAACTGTACACTATTTCTGGACACTGGCAGAGAGAAATTCAACTTGCAGTTACATAATTCAAGCTCATTTTATAAGGTAGAACAAACTGCAATGATTACCCTTCAGATGAGAGACATATTGGATATGGTTACCATGGATTACTACACTTTGCACATAGTAATTGCCTTTGTACTTCTTTGATTACATAAGTGCTTATTAACTATAACCATCTATATAGCTATATCCCTAATACTGAGTTTTCATTGGATACTGGCCAAAGATTTTTCAGTATTTTTAATTGACAAAGTAGCACTTGATTATAATCAAGCTCATCTGAATGGGGTGGATATAACTACTGCAGTATACTGTATATCTCCACTGGCCTACCAAGCATAAGATGGTACCTGTAGAGAAAAGACAGCACTAAACCAGAGTTTAGGGTCTGAAAATAGACGTCCGTGTGCTAATCATTATCGTTATAATAAAAAGCCAAATCTTTTTAGGGATCATAAAGAAATCCCCTTCATTATGTCTGTAGGTTAATGAAAATAATATAATTCCAACTGCAGTACATGCATGGGCCTGATTAATTAAACGAATTATAACCATTACTTCAACAGCTGGTTAGATATTCCATCCATACACTGCAGTCCAAATTATTTCCTCCTAAAGCAGAGCTCTCTATAGGATGACCTCGATAGACTTGTGTCTTTTCTCAACCTGACTATGTAACTATTTAACTCAAGACATCATAGTAGTGGGTAAGCTTTTGCCATAATATGCACAACATACTTGTACCTTATGGTATAGTTTCCTCTACAAAGTGACCCCTCCAGTGATGCGATGTCCACAATCTCCCTCATTGCCACCACTGACATCTTCGTCCAGGCTTTTTCTGGGTTCAGCATCTTTGTCCATCTTGATTGGCTGGCTTGATTTCTGGATGACTTACCTCCCGCACAAATGCACAGGAGTTAATGCATCCTAGCACACAAGGCATGTCAATTATAAGAACATTGCTGGAAGGCAGAAAATGGGCTTTAATTGCAGAAGAGTCTCTGAACAGCCTTTAGTTCTGCTTTAAATAATCTCCAGCCCTGAAGAAAAGGGATTTTTCTGTTGTCCCCAAAATACATTGCATTTTTATTGCAATGTTAATGACATGGACTTATTTGAACTGTTCACTGTTGTCTACAGTGCCATATCTTGACTCTTCCTTGAGTAAGAGCTGCCTCACTCAAGAGTCAGTGTACCTTGTATTTGACTACGAGATCACATTAAACCCTGAATATTTCTTGAGATCCAACCCCACTTAATCTGCACATCTATTAAGTATTTGGAGAAGGAGAAAGGAAAGGATGAAGTGTGGAATTTCAGCATGACGGATCTTTGGAAGTATCACCTTGCATGCTAGATTCATGAATTAATCTGTACCCGCAACAGAACTATTTTGTGTGGAGTTTTTTTTATCCGGTCTTTGATTGCCTCAAAAATCCAATAAAAATGAACACACTACTACAATATGCAGAAAATGTTTTGCGTGATACTTGTTTTCTGTTTTAGTCCTTAACACATGCAGATTTGAGGATTTATTTCCAACAAATTGTACAGTAAGTCAAAAATATGAAAAAGTTTTTATTTGGGGTGTTTTATTATTCATTAATAATATGTATACACTTTATCCCAAACAATAACCATATAAAAATATACTTTAATAAATACATAGTAGACCGGCTCTGCCGTTACTTTTTCCGAAACCCCTACTACGCAGTAACATAGTATTATTTCGGCTCTGCCGCTAACTTTTTTTTTGACCATACAACAGTGGACATGCAGTTTAATGTTGGCTCTGCCTTTAACTGTGACCCTGTGCCCTTATATAGCTCTATAGATCTGACTTAACTTGTGACCTTATAAAAAGAGGCCATGCATCTAACAAATTACAATGAAACAAATATATTAGCAAACAAATGTAGGAAAAAGTGATAGCATGCTTTACTGATCAAGTGAATCTTATCCTATATACTGGGATCTACAACAATTTTAAGACTGGCATAAGTCTACCTGAAATCAGTTTAGACAAAATGTAATACTCCTGAAGGCACCCTCCTCTACAAAATCATTTTAAAGAGTCAATAAAGTCGGTGAGCTGAGCGACCCTGGACTTTGATCCCCGCTGTTATTGCTACTGCTAGTGCTGCTCTTGCGATGAGCTGTGGAGCAGGATTCCTGAGGTCCAGGATAAGTGAACATCAAGGATGGTGTGAAGGGTGTAATTGATGGTGTCTTCATCAAGGTAGGAGTGTGAAGGGCCTCTGGTTCAAGAACTGTGTCACTAATCTCTATTCTAGGAAGTCTGACTCTGGGGCCTCGTGCAGGTTCATCATGTGGCTCTTCCTTAACAAGTTTAGGAGAGCCCCCCTGTTGAGAGTGGGCCACTTTGCAGATCGGTTGGTGGGCGTCAAGAATCAGTTCAAGTTTATCTTTCTGTTTCTGCAGCTCTGCTATCTCCTTTTGCAGAGATGACTTCTCCTCTTCCAGCTGGTCTGTCTCCTGAAAATGGTGAACATTTGTTGAGTTTGATTGCCTACAATTTAATTTTTTTACATTTAAAGCTCAAATGTAGTCAAAGAAACAAAATATTCAGTCTGATAGAAATATAGCTGCATAGTCCAATAAGCAATAGCGTTTGAACATAGGGGTTGATTTACTAAAGACAAACAGGCTGTTCACTTTGTAAATTAATTAGTAAAACAACCCCATAGTGTTCGGTGCACTCCAACTGACCTGGTCAGACTCACTCATCTCTTTAATAAAAATGTGCATGAGGATGCCTGTGATGGGGAATGGGTCCAATAATTATCTATGCCAGCATAGATTAGTGAGTAGCATACAAATCATATTGCCATTAAAAGAAAAGGGTATTTTAAAATATTCCCAAATTTGAAATCAATTTAATTTCTCAACATGCAGCAGTACAGGACCATAGAGTGTAAAAAATATGGGAGACTTCAACTGAGCTTTAAAATGGTGTGTTTTTATATTCATATAAGTCAACCACCATTATATCAAGTTCAACTGTGGCACAGTAGCAAGGCTGCAGCTTCAGTTGTGATTAGGTTTAGAAGAAAGCAAGCCAAAAACCCTTGCTCCTTCACCCCTGACTCACAGTGTACTTAGCGTGACACAACTACTCCCATTCTTTCAACTGTAAGCTACAACGTATATGGGACACTACAGGTAATAAAAGGGTCAATTTATGAAGCAGTGTTATAGCATAGCTGTGCCATAGTGACTAATTTATGAAGCACAGATGTATGCTTTACAAATGTGCTTTTCACTTTGCTTGCTTCAGAACTCTGAAGCATGCAATGCCCCATTTATTCTAATGAATGGAGAAAAAAAAATGTAAGGAAAAAGAAACCTGCCACATTACCTGTTACTTTACAGGTGATGGGTAAGGACTATTCTCCTATTCAAGAGTGTTTTCTGCAGCGATATGCAGAGAACACACTGCATGGCATTGGAGGCACCACACTAGTTTTTATAAATATAATGTAAAATGGCAGGGTACATTGTGGAGTAATTGCAGCAATGTCCTGCAGTGAGCGGAGAGCAGATGCCAATCTCTGTTCTAAAGGTTTGGGTATCTCTACAGTTCCTAAAAGATGGCTGACGTATGACCCCCCAATGCTGACCACACTGCATTCCCCCAGTTGGCCTCTCTTCACTTACTGCTTGAAGGTAGTCAGTTAGCTCTTTACGGCGGTTTCTGCACTTGGCGGCAGCGATCTTATTCCTCTCTCTTCGCACTCTTCTCCTCTGCTCTTCTTCGGGTGATATCTGAATAAAATATCAATAAAAAACAATGCACATGAGTAAAGCAAACACAACTAAAAGTAATTAACAAAGCAAACAAAAGGGTAGTTGATTTTCTGAGTAACTTCTGATTCATTCATTATGCTCATCCTGTTGTGTTGCAATAAGATGATTTCTCAACTTAAATGCCTATGGTACAACTGTCCCACTATATTGAAGTGTAGAGAAGTCGAATGCTGGCAGTCCCGCTGCTTATCCTGTGCTATTGCTATGTACATAGGTCACAGAGTATTAAGGGATGAATGAAGTCTACTTTCTTTATGAATGGAAGGATTGGCAGTGTGTGTGACCTAATGACTCAGTCATTAATGTTTATCCCGCTTCAATGTGTGGTTTGACACTCACATCCCAGCTTTTTTTCCCGTGAGTCACCCCCTTCTTCGACTATGAGTCGCCCGTCAACTGTTTCCGCGACATGTGCAATGCTTCTTACTTCAGGCACACACACCATTTTTTAACTCTTCAAGGGCACACCCATAAGCAACAATACCACCAACATAGACAATGAAAATACACTGTCAATATAGCTATTTGCTAAATGGTGAACAATACAAAGGTGTGGACTGTTTTAATACAGGATTAGCTAAAATGTACTCATTTATAGAGATGTATGATAAGTTCTTTAAAGAGGTGTTACTACTCTATAGGAAGGTAAGGCAGATTACAATATTTCAGTACAAGGTAAGGCAAATTACAGTATTTCAGTTGAACAATCGCTTTTGCAAAATAACCCTTTTATGTAAGTATATACGGTATGAATCTACAGTATTGGCCTCTTGGAATAGTGCAAGGTATACCTGGCAAGTACTGACATCTTGGGTGGCTAGGCCTCTAGGGTATAAAGGCACCTGGGCCCCTGAAGCTACATCTTTTTGCTAAACAGAGTGATTTGTAAATGTTACACTTTCTAGAGAATTGGCATCTGCGGTGTCAAAGTACTGAACTTTCCTCTTATCTAAGTCAACTAGCAGATTTGTTCCATAAATCTGTACAAAAATTGATAATGATATGCAAAAGGTAGTAACCCATACCAAACATTATAATTACCACATAAAGAATCAGTCTAAAGCTGCTTTTCCTAACTTTTTTACCATGTAGGAACCCTTACATTTTTTCTCAGATTTCACGGAACCCCTGCTAAAAATGAATATATCCACACCCCTTTATATTGGTGGAAATGGTGGAAGGGCACCCTTATGTTCACGGTTAGTGCATAAGAGATCCCCCTTATTTTGAAGGTCATTGGGACAGATGCCCCCTTACGTTGGTGGCTAAAAGGTCATTGGTATGAGGTGTCATTGGTGCCTGAGAGATAAGAGTAGAGGCTCCACTGGTCCCATGCCACTGCCTCTGCCATGTGATGATGGTGCTAGAACTATGAAGGTACAATTAGTGGAGGGAGCAATTTACCACTGCTCCAGGACCTCCCAGCAACCTCTGAGTGCCACAGAACCTCGGTTGATAAAGGCTGGTCTTCAGTAAATTAAAACCAATCAATTAATGCACCATAGCAGAAGCTCAGGAAAAAAAACAGGAATTATACCACTCCAAAGACCAATGTACTCCAGCTTTAGGCTAACCCACCTAAAACTATTGTATACCCTTTGCATACAAAAAAACACATTCTGTTGCAATATATGAGTGCAAATTAACTATATGAAGGTAAATAGACATATTCAAACATAATTTACCACATTCTAGTTTGAGTGGCGTAGAGCTTAATAAGTTATATGGCATTAAATGTTACTTGTACGTAATGTTTTTTATGGTATGTTATGGCTATACCCTCTTTGGCAGGTGCCAATGTTGGCATATTATGATATTGTTCATACAGAAGCATACACCAGATGCTAAGGTAATATATAAAATACATTTTCCTCCCAAGTGGATTTTAACTCTAGCTTCAATATATATCTTGTTATTCATAATAGCAGTTATGTTTTAACTATAACCACTGCAGGCTTTTTTAATGGAAAAATGAGAACATAGAACATGTTATCTTAGAACATGTTATCAGACAAGTGAATGTTAATACTTACATGTTCACCAACACGTCTCCTTGCCATATTCAAGACTCCGCTCATGCTTCTGATGACACCATGACGAGGGCTGTGGTATGGTGGTAAGGCTAATTGTCGAACACTAGGCTGGACCATCCAGTTAAGATCTTGACTTGAGGTTATCGCATTTAATGTTGGGATGAAAGGACTGGAAGACGGGTGAGTTGTGAATTTCTGTAAATGAGAAAGAAAATAATAATATTATTATTATTATTATTATATACACACATAGAGAACATTTATTAACAAAGTTTTGCTAAAGTGTAAATAGAATTTTCAAACCTCTCCCTTCATCTCTAAAACCCCATTTTTTTATTTTCCCAAACTCCCTACTTCTTAACCTTCGAAATTCCATTTTCTTGGAATAATTTACTAGTGTATATCTAATTATTGATATATAGTATAGTAGTGGTGAATGATAGTATATAATTAGATATTCACTAGTAAATTATCCAATTGTTTTTACAAAATGTTATGGTTTAGCATGATTTAGTCCAGCTGCACTTACATTTGGCTTGATCTATTGGCATAGTTTGCTTTTTCTATGTGTTTATGGATGTTTGTAAATGTTCATGTGCACGTATATTTGTATGTACTGTATATCTGAATATATATGTAGATATATATTCATATATATTCATATATACATATATACATATGTATATTTTTTGCATACATTTATGAATACATTTTTATAGAATTATATACATATTTATGGGACACAAATCCACAAAATTTGCTGGTTCTTCTGGAACTCCCCAAGTGTATAAAGATTGTGGTGGCATAGAATGTTCCTTTGGACACAGGCACTGCTCCACTTAACAGCATGGAACACTCACACTACTTTAGTTTCACCTCATGTATTTACATGTGGGATGTTGTCATATCTCTAAATGAGCAACTTACGAGCCAGCATCCATAAGCACCTCATATCTCCAAAGTTATACCTTAAAATGTGTTAAAAAACCCACTATCAGTGCTTGCTATTCATTCTTTCTTTTGAAAACTTATTTTCCAAGGTTCTAATAAAAAAAGAGCTTACAAATCCATCTACAGTGATGTAAATTGTTCCTTATGTAATACAAATCTAAAGCAGAAAAATGTCAGAACTATTATTAGGTATAGAATGTTCTGGGTGACGTTATCAGTTATTAAGAAAAGATATTATTTGCTTCTTAAAGTATACCTTGCCTTCCAGTATCAGTCTAAAAGCATTGCCACACTAAAGCTGGCCACCAGCGGAATTTTTTTTCAGAAACATTTTTTTTTTAATGTTTGTTCAATTTGCAAGTAGTTACTGGGGTCAAATCGACATTTGATTTCAACTGTAGTGATGAAAATAAATAAAATGGAGTATGGAAACTCCATTCATTCCAAAACTAAATGTTCAGATCAAACAAAATCTCGTACAACATTCTACCAATCTCTAGTGGCAGATTGGCATGTCCTAAGATTGTTCGTATGAACGTTCGTACGAAAATGTACCAGTGTATGGCTGGTAGATACCCTTGAATAGCATCTAGAAGGCTCCAGTAGCCCATAAACCTGGGGGATTCTAACATGCAAATCAAAGAGTTATGGAGGGCTAGAGAGGGAGGATCAGTCCCCAACTTTCTTGGCTAAAGTCAACATTTGCTTAGTAGAGTTCCCTGGGTTTTTAGGGTGCTTAGGTTGCTGCTCAAAGGTTTGTGCAAGTACCTGAGGGTATATACAGTATGTTGCATTCAGGTTTCTACTTTACAGTATTTAGAAAATGTTAAGCAATTTTAAAAATGTATAAAGATAAACACTTGACAAACAGCAATGTGTAAGTAAAGTTACCAATAGAACTAGATACAACTACATTGTTAAAATGTTGACTTGGTTGGTCCAACCCATGGGTGGTTGCTATGAGATATTGGGGTCTATTCACTAAGCTGCCGAGGGCAGCCGAGTGAATGACCGATCAGAAGTGAAGTGAGCCAAACACTGTTCGGCTATTCACTTCAGGCTGGTACGGCTGATTTCAGCCGTACATCGGCTGAAATCAGCCGTAGATGCTCAGCATGTTCGGTCGACCCGAAGTGCAGAAGGAGTTCGATTCAGCCGATCCAACATCTGGATCGGCTGAGCCGAACCTCCGGCAGGCTTCTCACTGCTGTTCGGGCTATTCTTAAAGATGCCGAACAGCAGTGAGTGAATAGCCGAATGCCGCTGAGCGGAATTGGGCTCGGCCGTTCTGCTCGGTCCCTCAGAGGGACCGAGCAGAACAGAAAAAGAGTTAAAAAAGGTTAAAAAAGTAAATAGAAAACGATTGTGCGGAGCTAGCAGTGACAGCTAGCTCCGCCCAATAGTTTCCTGTTGTCCGGCGGCTCTGCTGCTGTAAAAAAAACAAAAGTAAAAAAAAAAGAAAAAAATCTCCCGGGCGCTCTGGGAACCTCCTGCTCCCGGCCGCCAAGGAGAGAAACAATGCCGTGTCTTTTTTTTCTTTATTCTGACACGAGCGATGTCAGAATAGAAAAAAAAAATTTCCCATTGAAAAGCATTGGGACATTACTATTGGCTATTTCAATTTGCAATAGCCAATAGTAAATTAGCATTGTACCCGCCCTCTGCTGATGGACCTGATGGGGAACTGCAGAGGGCGGTTCCCCATCTAGGATTGGCAACAGAAGACATGAAAAACAGAAAACTACTAAAACATACTGAAGATCAAGAACATGGTCTTGTGACCAATCTGTACATTCTTATTCAGCGAGTCATTTATGTATATAATTAATAAATTGAAGACATTCTGTACAAAATGTTAATGTCATCACAGCAATGAGTCACACACGGTATCTATCACCTTGGGCTGGGAGGAAGACCCTACTCATAAGAACATTACACAAGAAAGTGATGGTGATCAACTTTCTATACAAATAGGTATGGATCTACAGAATTTATTATGGACTATATTCTAATCAATTTTTCATTAAAATACCCGGGAATGCAACCTAATATTTTATGACAGGAATACACTAGGCATGTAGGCCATTTTGCAAGTGGTTTATATAAATCATTATTTATGTATTATGTTATATGGATTTTCTGATTTAATAAATAAAAGTATATGAAAAGCATTCAAAGACCAGGACCACCAAATTAGTGTTTTCTTATGGCCACTGGAACATTGTGGTGACCTCTAAAATCCTTTAGGGCTTGTTCACCCTATATCCAGACTTGATCTGGATGCGTGTATGTGCGTTTTTGATTAGCTGCAGTGCTTTTTTTCCCGTCTCGATAGGACTTCTGGTGTGTTTGCATGTGTTTACACGTGTTTGGTGCATTCCAGACCAGATAAAATAGTGCATGCAGTACTTTTTTTTAAACATTCTGGAACTGAACACTGTGTTGTGAACTAGCCTAACTTTTTACCATAGGAATGAACTGGGATGCATTTGTGGACCAGACAAAAATGTTCTGGTCTGGATCTGGTCCGGACATGGTGTGTATGGGCCCTTAGGCCAGGTTCACACCATTTTCCAGACAAGATCTGGAACGCAGTGTATTACGTTTTCCCGCATTTTTGCCGCGTTTTTAACCGTGATTTTGCCGTGTTCCGGAGCGGGGTTTTTTGTGCGTTTAAAATGGGGTTTTAGGTGTGGTCCAGGGCGTTCCAATGCATTTGCATGCGTTTTTTATGCGTTTCCATGCAATCCAGTGCTTTCTAGACCAGATAAAATGAGACAAGCAGTATATATTTCTGTCTAATCCGGAACGGACTGCACTGGTGTAAACAGAGCCTAGAAATACCATAGGGATACACTGGGATGATTTTTGGTCCGGGAACAAACTGTTCTGGTCTGGACATGGTGTGAATAAGCCCTTAAAGTTTACAGCATTGGCATACATTCCATATATAAATGTATGAAATAAGACATTTTTGTGTAACCTCACAGTCAATTAGGGCTGACATAATGAGGTATTTAAAGTCACCAACAGCAAATACTTTAGGCTATGACACTGATGTTGTTAAATGTCACCGCTAGACCCGCCCAATTGTTTATATTTATATTATGCAGCAGGACATTTTTCTATTTTTTTATTTCGCGGACAACACTGGACGTTGTGATTAACCCTGGATTACGTCGTGGATCAATTTTTTTTTCTAATTAAAAGTATCGTCAAAAACTTGTCTTTTTTTTCATTTAAAGGATTTTTTCTAAAGTCTGGCGTATTTTTTAAAATGATCCAAGTGATGATTTGGCTGAGTCTAACTCCTTCTGAACTTCCGCTCAGCCGAAGTACGGCTGACTTTTGCCGATGTGTGGCTGAAATCAGCCGTACAAGGCTGAAGTGAATAGCAGAACGTCAGTCGGCTCACTTCACTTCGGCTGGGTTATTCACTCTGCTGCCTTCGACAGCTAAGTGAATATCCCCCTAAGCCAAGGTGTAATGCTTACTTTATTCTTCACTCTGGCAGGCTTGCTCCATCTGTGTGATTGGTCCTACAGAGCTTCCTCTCTAGGGTGTTCTGGACCATGGTCACATGCTCAGCTCCTCACATACAATGCAATGGACTGCCTCCAGCCCAGAACGTCAGGGAGAGTGGAGAGCACCGGAGCCTTCTGGAGTAATAAATACGGTAAGTTATAACCCTCTCCCTCTACCCGTTAGAATTTATGAGTATTTAAATCTTGCAGTGTGGGCAATCTCCTTACCAAAACTATGTAATATGAGTACAAACCTAAACATTCCATTCAATCTGTATGAATTATTTGCACTACATAGTTGATGGCAGATCTAAAATGGATTGGGCAATCAGATTGTACGGAGTATGAATGGCTTCAAACTGAAGCTGGATCGGACCAGAAAAAAATGATTTTGGTTGAATCCCTGACCTGCTACTTTAATGTCTTAGAGACTCCAGCCATGTGAATCACCTACCAAAGGTTCTCACACTGCCCTCCTGTTGTGACATTGAGACCAAACAAAAAAAGAGGACCCACTACCTGAGTGAGTCAGTGTAACGGCTACAGACCGTCATTTCAGCTGTCAGTGCAGGGATCTGGCCAATGGATTCTTCAAGTGATGTATGAAGATGGGGTCAGCCTAGCAGTGTCCACAGAAAAGTGAAATATCACTTATAGGTAAAGATTGCTAAATGTCTTCTGAACCCCAGTAAACTATAATCAGTCATTCTTTTATGATGTTTATTAAATACTTTAGGACTGGAGTTTGGAACTTCTGGATTTGCAAGTGCTGGCTGAATGTGGTGCTCTGTAGACAAATCCCTGCTCACACAAGTGCGATTTGTCACACATCTGCCACTGCGCTACAATGCACGACAATGAAAATCCTATTATTCTCTATGGTGTCTGTTCACACCTATGCAACATGATGTAGTACGTTTTCTGGAAAGTTGGCGGTGCTTCTTCTGGTGCTACATAGCGTACTTTTAGCTCCAACGGGAGCACAAAAAACACACGTAACATGGATTTTAGCACAAGATAACAACCCCCTAGAAACCGATATCTTATTTTACCTTCATTGGCCAAGACAAAAATGCATAACGCATAAAAACGCTGCAGGAATGGTGAATATTCACTGTGTTTTTTTAGCGGTATGACCATCTTTAGAATATTTTGTATCGCAACAGAGTCACTTTTAGTTGTAACACAGTATTTATGTTTGAGCCCCAAATGAGACTGGTGATAAAACACATTGACATATATTACATTCATAGTAACGAATGGTTGTATTTATTCCTATCCCATGGGGGATTTGTTCTGTGGACTTCAGCTACAATTTAAAGGGCATCATTGAAATTGGTAGGTGCAGCTTGATTTATTGTATTGATAAAATAGTTTTTATTAGTATGGTGCAGGGGTAGGTAACCTCAGCACTCCAGCTGTTATGAAACTACAAATCCCATCATACCTCTGCTTCTGGGAGTCATGCCTGTGGATGTCAAAATCTTGCAATGCCTCATGGGAATTGTAGTTCCACAACAGATGGAATGTGGAGGTTGCCTAACCCCGGAATAGTGATACTTCCTTCCGCAACGGTTTAAGCACACACATACATATATATCACTAATACCGCACTTTTATCTGCGCATCCATAACTGAATTAATTATAGGATTCATTAAAGAGGAATGTCGCTACCCCCTATTTTTGTTGTGCTACCCCTCTTACTTACTTTTGTACAGTGTTGTCCTCAATTCATATACTCACCTGCCCAGCGAATCCAGCTTTGTCCCACTGTGATTCACTGTTCAAGTGACATGGTATGTTTACTGTGCTGCCCTCTTGGTGCCCCCTCAGTCATTTGGAGCCAGATGCCTCTTCTGGGTTTAGGCAGCCAGCCCCTGATGACGTGCTCTACACTTCCTACTGGCTGCTATGCCTGAAGACTCCTGGAAGATATGATGGGGATATCTCAGGAGGTTGTGGGAGCATGGCATGTCATTCTCATTTAGATGAGAAGTGTGACGGAGGGCAAGGCCAGAATAAAAAATAACAAACAAAAAAATACATTCCTTTTTAAATAGTGGAGAGGGGAATGGAGGAAGAAGGTTGCAGGGCGATATGGTAGTTGTCCCAAATTTAGGTACATTCGGGTAAATTGTCTCAGCCATCATCGTCCTGTGGGTCTCCCACTAGATGCAGTCATTACAAGGGGGAGTCACCATTCCCCTGCTTTTGCCTTTTTCTCAATTTTAAATATTGGTAAATATAACAAGAGAAACTGTCAGACCCCTATTGCTGGATGAAGAGTGGGTGTCCAACATGTGATGGGGCGGGGGTCACAAGGCTGACCATACACTATACAATTCTTTAGATCTACCATCAAATATGTAGTACAGGGGTCTGCTTGATTTTATATTCATTGAATCAATTTTTTAGGTTTGTCCTCATATTACAGTTTTGGTGTAGCTAAAGAGATTGTACAATCAGATTGTATAACATATGGCCAGCTTAAGAAATACAACTGGTAGGTGAATGTCATTTCAAGAATCTGCCAAATCCTAAAATAGTTCGGCTGGAGTGACCCTTTAACCGCAATTCATTCTTTGTCAGCGCAATAAAACTATAATTCTATAATGTAAAAATAACAATATCTAAGCATTGTTGTATAATAAATAGCACCTTCCGAACACACTGTCCGTAGCCATTATCAGTTACATAACGTGAATTATTGACAAATGGAATTGTGACAGTTTAACCTCCCCACCATCATTTACTATAGTGATCACATTTGTTCCAAACGAAACACGAAGAAATACATGAAATATAAATGTTTCAATCATTAAAGTACATTTATCAGATATAGAAGTCTCGTTAACCACTCACCTGCTGGTGATCCTCAGGAGGGGTTGATCTTATGCTGTGACCCATACTAACTGCTGCGAAGTGCGAACTCCCTGAGTCAGGGCTGTGACTAGAACTGCTGCACCCTAAGTCCTGATGAGGATAAGTCACAGAAAAGTCTCTGTACATGATCCGTGCACGCAGCTCTCCTGTCTAAATCACACTGACTCAGACATCATCACCGCTTCATTTTATCAATGGGAAACCGGGACTGGAATGTTCCAAAAGCGAGAGGTGATCCTTTCACAACTGATACGTTCACATTTGTGTTATGAGGCAGATACAAGCTCCGGTTTATGAAAATGTGACTTAATAATAAGTGAAATCTAGCTGGAAGTCTTATACGACTAGAAGCTTACTTTCGTTTTTTGTAAAAGAGAACGTAAAATAAAGTGATCTCCCCTTCTACTGTACTCATAGTTGGTAGGCGCCGGGTTTACCAAAACCGAATGACGCAGATGCCCTTATATGGTATACTTCCTCTGAAAGGAAAGCCCTTTGCTAGAAGCGGCTGTTGATTTTTTTTAACTCTGCTATTTCCAGTGTGGAACGGAAACTATAGGTACAATGATACAGCCACGGAGACACCTAGACAGAGATACTTCTGGGAAATGATGCTTGTTTACTTATCAACTCATTCTGTTTACTTTGTTCATTATTTTTTTGCCGTCGGATTTATGGGAAACATGCCCCAAACTCATTACAGTGTATCGATATATTACATGTATTTGTACATTTGCATTTCCCTTAATGGGCCATAATTCCCGTATTGAAGAGCTGCTTTGCTTTATTATTGTTACAGTTTCTAGCTTTGCTTTATGTTATTGAACCATGTCATGTATTTCATTCCGTCTACTCTTCCTTTGTATTTCATATGGGGAACTCGCAGGCTGGAGAATAGATGAAAAATTGGGTCAATCATTCCACAGACACAAACTGACTTTTGTCTGCTTTTCTTTCTAGAAGTGGTTGTATAGTGGTCTTGTGAATATAGGGACTTATTTACTAAAGGTGTGGAGCAGGGGTGTCAAATCCAAACTTAGGAAGGGCCATGCCAGGGGTTGTGAATAAAATCAGGGGCCAGACATAAAGAAGAAAAAAACATTAGCCCTGCTGCTTGCCATTAATCATTCTATGACAGTCCCGGTGTCTTGTGTGAAAGGGCACTACAAGTGTCAGCAGTCCTTGTCCATTGAATGGACAGGGACTATTGACACTTGTAGTGCCCTCACACACAGGATACCAGGATTGTCATATAATGGACAGGGACTATTGACACTTGTAGTGCCCTCACACACAGGATACCAGGATTGTCATATAATGGCCAGGGACTAATGGCACTTGTACTGCCCTCACACATAGGACACCATGACTGTTACATAATGATGATATGATGGTTCTGTGCCCTGTGCATGAGGGCACTACAAGTGTCAGCAGTCCCTGTACATTATATAACAGTCATGTTTGAGGGCACTACAAGTATCAGCAGTCCCTGTACATTATATAACAGTCATATCTGAGGGCACTACAAGTGTCTGCAGTCGCTGTCCATTAAATGGTTGCCACACTACAAAGGTCGGGACCGGCAGGCCTAATAAAATCTTGTGCCCCTGTAAGTGACATATGTGGAGTAGAGGCTACTCACTTAAAGAAGAACTCTGGGCAAATAAAATCTTAACCCTTGCAGTGAATCTACCTCCACACTGTAAGGGTTAAGTGTTGGTTTTGTCTAGGGAGCTAAAATAACAGAGTTATACTAACCCGAATCACAATCCTGGATTGCTGCTAGACCGGTCCCTTCAGCCATGCTCACCCTCTGCTCCAGCAGTCTGAAATCCTGTGAGTCATCATGTCCAATACACTGAGGACACCGAGGGATATAATTATCACTGGAGCATATGGGCAGAGAGGCTCCAGGAAATGGTCTGGAAGCCAGCCTTGTTGGAGGTTTGGGTGAGTATGTCTCTGTAATTTTAGCTCCCTAAAGCAAAATGAGCACATATCCCTTTCAGTGCAGGGGTAGCCGGGATCGAGGTTTGGGTGAATATATCTGTTATTTTAGCTCCCTTAGCAAAATGAGCACGTATTCCTTTCAGTGCAGGGGTAACCCCAGTACTTCTTATTTCTTCTCAATAATTCTTCTTTATTAAGGTGACTGTTCACTTAAACTAAAACTGAAGCCAAAACCTTTTTTTCTAGTTTTGGATAGAGTAAAGCTGGCCATAAACCGTGCCAATTTCGATACGTTCTTGGTGAACCAGCCGAAATTCGCTTAGTGGGTGACCATGTCAGCAGGCTTTTGTCCGACATCCTTTGATCAGAAAATCAAAGGAGGTGGTTGGGAAATTTTTGGACAAACAGTTATAGCAGCTTCTCAGGTGCCTTCACTATTCGGGTATTCTGAGAGCGGCAAACCCGCTGCTGTCAGAATACAGTAGCCAAGCAGGAGATTTGTCCATCCATGCTGTTTAGTGTAGATTGGAGGAATCTATTATGTTTTTCAATCAGAGCACAGGATGAATGAGAAAAATATAAGAGCATATGGACAGCTTTAGGGAGGGTTATAACCTCTGTCAGCTTTTTTTGCCATTTGTATCCCATTGGGGAGATTTCTCTTCATTTCCTGTCCAACAGCCATGACAATAAGCGAGGTGCTTAAGTGAGGGAAATCCCTGATGGTCAGCAGGGGGGTCACTAGAACTAGTGTTCCCATTGGGAGATTTCAAACTCTATTCCTGTTCTGATGACAATCCAAAATTTGGAATGTACTTTTACTTTCAGTGATAACTGTCACCAGGGCAAATAGAGATGGTAAATGTCCATAAAGAGGTGACGGATAGCAATAAAAACCTGACAAGTGTTCTAACCCCTCTACCCTCTATTCAAAACTAAAAAAAAAAAGTTTGGCCTCAGTCCCC